TCTTTGAAAGATGTATCCGGACGTAGAGTGCTGTCTAGACCTCTTTCTAATGCCATGGGTGTCTTCCAGGGCTCTGCGTTAGGGCCGCTTCTTTTCACCATTTTCTCTAACAACTTATCGCTATACGCGGGCGACGCAAAAGTGTTTCAGTATGCCGATGACACTCAAGTATTGGTTAGCGGTCCAGCTCGGGACCTCGAAGTTCTCATCTCGCGCATGGAGGACTCGCTCGCGTCTCTCAACGACTGGTTTTGCGCTAACGCCCTCAAAGTGAACGCAAGTAAAACACAGCTTATTGTATTTGGCACTCGTCAAAATCTTCGTAAATTACCAGACTTTAGAGTACCATTCCGCAACGCAGCGTTGCAACCGTGCGCACAAGTCGGGAACCTTGGCGTCACTTTTGACAGCACTATGTCATGGGACGCACACGTCTCTGAACTCTGCCGCCGGTGTACGGGACTGTTGATTGGTCTTTCACATGCGCGCCACTGTCTCCCAGATGGCATCATTCGAACGCTCGTGACGGCACTCGTTGTATCGCGTATCCAGTACTGCCTTTCAGTTTATGGTAATGGGTCCCAAAAAAATTTCGATCGACTCCAAAAAATTCTTAACTTCGCCGCTAGAGTTATTTTCGGCCGCCGTAAATTTGACCATGTCTCCGACCTGCGAACAAAACTCGGGTGGTTGTCCCCGCGCGGTATGTCCGATTTCCACACCCTTGTCATCGCACACAAGGTCATACAGCGCCGTGAACCTGAGCAACTAGCAGCCCTGTTCGTCGCTAATAGCGCTATCCGCGAGAGACCATCCAGGCAAGATCACTTCTTCCATCTTCCCCGTCCACGGCTGGAAACGGGCAAGCGGCGGTTTGGCTATCGAGCTGCAGCTCTGCTGAACAGCCTGCCACCTCACCTGTCGCAGCTGCCTCCCGCCCGCTTCGCCCGCGCTGTTAAAGCCGCAATCGTGGACGATGAATCAGCACATCGTCGCTGACCAATAGGATAGGGGTGGGTAAAAGCGATGAGGCTGTCCTGAGAGTGTTTTGTCCTTGTTTTGACGTGAGTGAATGTGCAACTGTTTTGAATGATTAGATTAGCAACCGCGGATACGGATTCTGAGCAGTAATCGCCACGCACTTTGTATGTGGATCGCTCTTAAATGTAAATACAATACAATACAATACGATGAAGGTGTTACATACCTATGCACGTTTGCCTCATTTACCTACATATGCACACCCGCCAATATAATAGATTTCTCACGGTCTTGATGCCCGCTTCTCCTCGTCGCCTGCTCGGCACCGGTCCACGCGGCACCCGCGGCGTCGATAGTCGGCCGGTGCAGCGTTCAGAGGTATCGTGTTCCCGCCTGCTCGGAACCATTCCCCTCGGCACCCTCCGACCGCCCGCAGCGTCGATAGCCGGCCGGTGCAGCGTCCAGAGGTATCGTGTTTCTAAGGGACTTAGTGGCATTCCACTCTATTTCCTGGTGGCTTCCAAAAAACTACTGCCACAGCACCATTACCCCATCTGGTGGCTGACTTGTTAAATATCAATTCACCCGGCGTCAACCAGAGGCATTTTGTACCTTCTGATTTTAGACGATGCGATTTTGTATGATACGATCATCTCGTTTTGTAGGTTGCAATTTTGTATGATACGCGTTTGTTTGATCTGCCATTGTACGTTCCAATTTTGTACGTTTTGATCATTGTTTGATTTGCCATTGTACGCTTTACCCATTGGACGGTAAACTTTTGTACGTTGGGATTTTGTACGCTGCGCTTTTGTACGTTTGGGCTGTCCCCTACCTGGCCTGTTTTGTAGGTTTTGCGCGCTGTATGTTGCGATTTTGTATGTTTTGAGGATTGTACGCTGCGCTTTTGTATGCTTTGATAGCCACCCCAGTGCGCGTATTGTTAACCCGCGCCCGGCTGGGGTCCTGGATTTCCACGCCCTGCTGGGGGGGGGGGGGTGTTTGAACACCCCCCTTCTAACTCGGCTCCTGGGCCACGTAGCGATACGCGGAAGGCGGCGTTCGAAAGAGCGTCAAAAATAATGAGGAAATCACTTCGGTCAATTTTTTGGTCAGGTCAAAGGTCAGGTCACCAGAGGTCATTGAAGGCAAAATTTCGCCGATTTCCAGGTCGAATGTCGACAATTTCCAAGAAGCCAACGCATAACTCGGGAACCAATAGAGCTACAGCGCCGCGGAAAAGCGCATTCGATAGCCCTATTAACGCCCTTTCTGAGTAACTGTCTCAGGTTTGACCTAACGTCAACGGTTTTGCCTGCAGGGGGCAAAAACTGCAAAAATAGCCGATTTTTTCGGAAACAGTTTTTCTGCAATAACTTTTGACCCAAGCCTTGTACGAGCTTATTTTTACCGGCATCGTGTTCCTCTCGTCAAGACGCATCGAATGAACTATAACTTGACCTTGAAAGGTCAACTTGAAAATTTGACCTCAGGTCAAGGTCATGACCTGACCGGAAAGGGTCATGTTGCATATCAGCCGATCCGTATCGTCGAGCTGAACACATCTAAGGCGTTTTCATCGCTCTAGCATGCCTCTATCAAAAGTTATTTGCGAAAAACTATTAGATACCATTCGTGACCTAAGATGACCTCAGGGCATAAACAGGGGTCACGGACACCGTTTTCATGTTCAGTGTGTCTAAACCACTTGTAATTCAGTGTTTGGGAGTGTTTATAATGTCTTTCTTCCAAAACAGGCGCATTTCAATTTTCTCCCATTGACTTATAATGGGGAGGTCGCAAAATTGACCTGACCTTAGGTCATCGATATCAAAATTCTGAGATATACATTTTGTACATGCTATTGCTCTTAGCAATCACTGAAAGTTTCAAAGCGATCGGTCACTCGGTGTAGCTATGACAGACATTGAAACTTTTTATGAGGTGAGGTCACTTTAAGTGACCTGGTGACCTGACCTTGAATGACCTTGGTCTGAATTTTCACAACATGTGTAGAATTGATGTATGATAAGGTGTACCAAAAACGGCGGCGCGGAGCGCCGCCGTTTTTTAGATATTCGCGAAAAACCACAAGGGGGGGGGTGTTCAAACACCCGCGCCCGCGGGTGTTGTAACCCGCGCCCCCCAGCAGGGCGCGGGTTAAATGCAATGCAACACAACAGTTTTTCGAACACTCACCGCACCGCACTCACCACACACAAGCCGCACCGTCCCGGTACACCACACCAGAGCAGAATGAATCGAGCGCCACAAACTCGACCAAGGTCAGGTCGGGTCATCAGCGGGGAGCCCGGAGCACGGTACTAATGGTCTCCGCACACCACGCGACTCTCCGCTGTTCGAAGGTCACGGGGATATTTGACCTCCCCAGATCCAGATCGGTGGCCGAAGCCTGGCCAGCGGCAACACGTTGCTATAATTTCCGCGTTGTGCAGGGTTCAGCGGAAAGTCGCATCCCGAATGGACCAGGCGTGTGGAGACCTTAACCCAGAGTTGCGCCAGCTCGCAGATCTGCTCCGGAGAACAAACTAAACATATAGACGCAGTGGCGTCGCCACGGATTTTCGACTAGGGGATCTGGTCGGACGGTCAGTCAAAGTAATCCCCACCAAATACTGAAAACTCCTCGGATTTAGACAATTTTATTTTGAGAATGCACCAAAATCGTTTTTAAAATATTTTATTTTATTCTTGATCGATTTTCGTGGCCAAAAGTGTGTGTGTGGGGGGGAGGGGGGGGGCGTCGGACCGGCATATTTTCAAGAATGTGTGTGTGTGGGGGGGGGGTCCGGACCCCTCCGACCCCCCCCCCCCGTCGGCGACGCCCCTGCATCGACCAGCGGTCCCCCATTCATTCGGAATCGTACCCCAATCCGAGGATCCATGCTTCCGGCGGCTAAGTGCAACGCCACAAACCCGTCCGTTCGCAAACGGCCTAGGCCATTCGCGAATGGCGGTCCATTCGCAAACGGACTAGTCCGTTTGCGAACGGACCGCCATTCGCAAACGGCCTAGTCCATTCGCGAATGGACTAGTCCGTTCGCAAACGGACTAGCCTTCGCACTTGGCCCGTAACATATGTATCGTCACCCTTGCAGCTGCAAGTTTATCTATTGACGTCTTCTATTCGATCACTCCGCATTAAACAATCGCCAGTCAAAGCCAATCGTTGAGATTGGTAAAACCCATTATAGAGTTCAGTGGTAAAACCCTACATTACTTTAGCGGTGGGCTGTACATACTTGTTACATTCATCCCAGCAGATATTGATGGCATGTTAGGCATTTTACAGCTGGTGGACTAGAAGCAATTTCATATTGGTACACACTGGTGACTTGTTCGAGGTAAATTGAGCTGGTTTCCTATAAAAAAAAATTTCATGCTTCCGATCGTGGTCATTTTTAAAACTGTGCCGATTATTAAGGCTGTATCGGTGTATGAAGGCAATGATAGTGAGCTGTAAGGAAAAAAGCTGCAAACTGTGAGCTCACTGAGTCATTGGGTAACAAGACTGTCGTGACATACTAAGCCGTTGCCGTTAATTACGTTACTGTTTCCTCGTACACCGATATAGCAGCAATCAATTATCTCGGAGTCGAAAGGCATCAAGTAAACAATAGTAGGCAAACTTGGTGCATCCCTATGTTGCCGCGCTTCGTAACCTGTCATGGCGTCATGTGACCGCGCTTTGTAACGATTTTTTTTGTACTTTTCTTTATGGTTTGCGTTAACCATTTCATCAACATGAAAATGCAGGTGACCTGTGGGGTGTGACGTAACGCGATTCACGCCTTGCGTGACCTTTGCCCTTCCGCCCCGGCCGCTCCACACCTACTCCTTCTCACCCGACTCTCGTTTTCAACATGACGTGGTCGTCATGACTCGTCTCTCGATCCGTCATGACCTGGCGGCTGCACCCAAGCGTTCGGTGACCCGCGCCGTGACCGGTCACAGCGTCACGCAGTGCCGTCACGTCACGTGAGCTGGCCGGCGCGGCCGTCGTTCGTCGGGAGAAAGTGTTGGTGGCTGGCGGCCGCCGCGCCGGGGGCCGGGGGCGACCGGCGCTCGGCGTCAGTCCGCGGGTGGCGGTCGACCGAGTGAGAGTGAGTGGGACGGCGCGGCGCGGGGAGCGACGGGCGAGACTGAACGGGACTGGTGCGTAGAGACGGGTTCCAGTCTGGGAACGAATGAAATTCGATCGAGTGCAGACAACGAGTAATTTTCCTAGCTGAACGAGACCGTTCTCGGGAGTGGAAGCGGGGGCCGTGGGGATGTGGATCGGGCTGTGAGACTGAACCCTGAAAGTGGACGTCACGTGGACAGGGCTCACCGCTTGGATCATCTGCCGACGTCGGCTCGCCACAGCGGCTTCTCCGTCCAGGTTAGCAAACGCTTCTGCCTCCCTCGATGTTGCAAATCGTCGGCTGGTTGCGCAGCCGCAGCGCTTCCATCCGGTCTGACTTGTTTCGGCACGGCGGGGCTTTTCACGTTTTTCGTCTTCATGATGAAATCTGCATGACTGTTTGTTGCAACAAAATAATGGCTAAAAAGGACTCCTGTCGCTACCGGCCAGGACTTTCGGCTCACGATTGTACCCAATGTGGAAAGTGCAATGCGTTTTCAGCCGATCTTTTGGGTGGTAAAACTCATTCGATGGTCGGAACTCGGAGTGATATTTGATCGGTTTCTCCGGTCTGAAAAATTATATACTAGTCAGTAATCAGCGAGACGCCACACCTACTTAATACTGCTTATTCAGTATTCAGTTCACAGCCACAGGCAGAACGGATGATCCAGCGTGTGAAAATGACTGCGGATGATCAAACTCTGTAAACGTTTGGAAATGATGTGTACCTTTTACCGACGTGTAAAAATAATGTCTCTCTACCATCAACGTGAGAAAATTACGTGCTCTCAACAAATCAGACTAGCTCATAAACGTTTCTTCATCGCGGTAAAGTTTCCTTTCAGACTCAATTTAAAAGCTCATACTTTCCTTGAATGTTTGAAATATGCGACCATTTCTCCGATCTATCTGGATCTGTCGTAAGTAATGACAGGTAAGGAAACTTGAGCTTGCAGTTGGGTATACGATCTCTCCTGATCTCCGATTTGTGCGGTAACTGGTGTCAGTTCTACTCCCCGCAGCCTGCCGATCGAAGTCCGCTGTTAGTGTTTCCTCTCTGTCGCTACTGTGTCCCGTGCTGCGACCCATTCCAGTTTGGCTGTTGTTGGCCGTACTCACCCATTTTTCGGTTGCGCTCCTCATCCGCCACAACCGTGGGTGAGACGACGTCGGACGAGAGAGGGAGAGAAGTAATAAAAAAAAAAACGCAAAAGAGACGGAGGAGACAATGTTGAGGACATTGGCGCCGTTGGGGATGGGGGGTGGGAGACGCGCCACTCGCGGCCCGCCTCTGTTGTCACCGTCGTCCCCTCTCACTGACTGACGTCTGTCCTCTCGTCTCCTCCCTCGCCCTCCCCGCCCTCGCCCCTCCCCACGGACTGCCGCTCCCCAACCCACCTCCGACCCAGCTGGTCTTCACACTCCAGAGGGGCCACTAAACTTTATTAGGGGACCCTAATACCGATTAGTGTTTCCTCTCTGTCGCTACTGTGTCCCGTGCTGCGACCCATTCCAGTTTGGCTGTTGTTGGCCGTACTCACCCATTTTTCGGTTGCGCTCCTCATCCGCCACCAAAAGCCCCAACTGGAACCGACAGGTAATGGTAGGAGACTGGCACACTCAGAGTCTCCTCGTTAAGCTACCAGAAGGACTGGTTCTCGAGAGCAGAAAAAGTGCTATTTGAATGCCCGGTGGCCCATCACACAAGGCGCAGTGCTCACCCAACGAGCGTCATCCTCCGCAACACTAGGGCAGTGTGAAACGTCGCCCTTCCAACACCAGGGCAGTGTGAATCGACACCCTTCGAACACCAGTGCAGCGTGAATCGACACCCTTCGCGAACACCAAGGAATTGTGTGAATCGACACCCTTCAAACACCAGGGCAGTGTGAAGATACCCTTCAAACACCAGGGCAGGATGAATCGACACTCTTCGCAAGCACCAGGGCAGTGCGAATCGACGCCCTTTAACACCAGGGCAGTTTGAATGACACCCTTCAAACACCATGACAGTGTGAATCGATACCCTTCGCAACATCAGGGAATTGTGTGAATCGACACCCTTCAAAAAACCAGGGCATTGTGAATCGACACCCTGCAAACACCAGCGCGGAGTGAAACGACACCCTTCAAACACCAGGGCAATGTGAATCGACATCCTTCGCAAACACCAAGGAATTGTGTGAATCGACACCCTTCAAGCACCAGGGCAGTGTGAAACGACACCCTTCAAACACCAGGGCAGTGTGAATCGACCCCTTCAAACGCCAGGGCAGTGTTAATAGGCACCCTTCGCAAACACCAGTGCAGTGTGAATCGACACCCTTCAAACACCAAGGCAGTGTGAATCGACACCCTTCAAAACCAGGGCAGTGTCAATCGACATCCCTCAAACACCAGGGCAGCTTGACACGATGGAAGTCCATGGTCCGCGTCCCGCTCTGGCTCTCACCACCGTACCGTGCACGATAGAGGCTGCGTGATGCCAGCACACGCACGCTATCCTACCACACACGCGCAATCACACCACCAGACGCGCCACTCGCGGCCCGCCTCTGTTGTCACCGTCGTCCCCTCTCACTGACTGACGTCTGTCCTCTCGTCTCCTCCCTCGCCCTCCCCGCCCTCGCCCCTCCCCACGGACTGCCGCTCCCCAACCCACCTCCGGCCCAGCTGGTCTTCACACTCCAGAGGGGCCACTAAACTTTATTAGGGGACCCTAATACCGAATAGACGGGGTGTGTCGGTGACGAGGAAACCAAACTGATCAGTCATGAGGCTGAGTCGCTGTTTCACTGTATACAGGCTCGCTGTGCTCCCAGCGATGACGCCGTATCTAACCGTATCCTGTCCATAGCCCACGAGTTACACTCGCCCGCCGCCACTCGCACTCGCAACTTTCCGGGAAACAGGACTCCCAACAGACATATAACGGCGCAGTGGCGGCGGATAAAGGCGCACCGTCGACAGATGATGGCGCTCTGATGAAATGTTGCCTGCCGGCTGCTGTGCGTGTTATAAGCGCTAAAAGCTGGAGGCGTGGTTAGCATACTGAATGGGACCGTAAACAGACGTGGGTCGGACGGGTTGGGCGGAGCGAAGTGGCGACAGGGGACCAACCGGCTCTATTAGCTGGATTGGAAGCCAGGGGTCACCAGGGGCTATGGTGGGTAGTCAAACACCAGGGGCTATGGTGTTTACTGACTTCGGAGGGTAGTGGCACTCCTTGAGTTGCCAGGAGGCGAATGGCAATGCCTCGCTGAATTGCTGATGACGAATGGCCGCTGTTATCACTCTTCAGGATCACTATCGACCCCGGACAGTCAGTGTTATGAGACGAACTGTAGCGTTACGAGGTACAGGCTGTGGCCGTACGAGCTACGGACTGTAGTGTTCCAGGTGTGGCAGTTCCTCCACCGTTATAGCGAACGCTGCCGACGGCGGTAGCTAGTCCAATTGTGAGTTGTGACTGGTAGCGAAAGCCGGCGACGGCTCGGACACCTCGTGGCTGGTTTCGGTCTAGACTCTAGACGGCTGTGGAGATGAAGTAAGATGGCGACGGGGCTCTTTTTGACCTAGGAAACTACAGTGCCGGAGCGTATTTTCTATTGGAGGAGCTGATAACAGCGCCCTGATTTGAAAATGGACAGTGACGTGACAGTTAGGTTCAGTGATCCCGATCCTGACTTACAGCATGCCACTCTGTCATGCAATATTAGGTGCTCGCAATATTCAGCCATTCTTATGCATAAATGCATTCTGTACACCTTGCACATTGTGTGCATATGGTGCACATTTCGCATTATACGTCGGGCGCCGAACCGGTGCCTTCCTGAGATCCTTTGATATTGTGCACGCAATGCCGCAATAGTGACCTCCAAGTCTAGCTGCCGGTTCTGCACCAGCCCTTCCACCGCTAACCACACGGCTCGACCGCCCATTTCTTTATGTCCTTTTGTCTTAGGCCCCTCACCACTCTCTTATGTCCCTCACCACTCGGTCCGGTTTAGCGGCAGTTTACTCGGTGGCAGGCAGGTGCGCTAGATAACACGCCACGATTCACTGCGGCGTGCTTGTGGCGTGCTGACCTGCACTAGAGGCTTTATCTGTGGTGTCTCATCAGCGCTGACTAAAAACTGGCCGCGAACTGGGCGAAGGTCGTGAGTTGAGGCCGGCGCTTTGGGCCTTGGTCGGCGGTAATCGAGGTATGGAGCGGCCTACACCTGGAAATTGGGTGGTGACGGGTGCGTTGTCATCGAGTCATTTCTTGCGAATTATTTTCTTGTATGTACTTTCTGCCGAATGTGTACCTGTAGCCTTCGAAATTCTACATTATTAAATGTATTGCGCACGGCGCAACGCAAAAGATGTCCTCAGCTCAATGCGTCGTAAGTTTGTACGCCAATCTCAATATGGTGGCTTGTGCGCTGGTCGCTGCACGGCTGACGAAGAAACACTCAAAACAGCAAGTGTAGTCGTATCCTTTTAGCGCAGCGGGTTGCAGCGGTGCATTACTGGAGTGTCGTCATCAGTGGCGGCGGAAGGTAATTTTGGATGGGGGTGCAAAGTTTTCTCAAGGGGCCCTTCTTGAAGTTTTGGGCCCCCCTTCATTTTTTTTTTGAGTGATTATTATTGATTTATGAAACACGAAGATTTTGGAAAACTATCCCATACACAAAAGTTCTGTAAAAGGTTTGAAATTGCAGTGTACCTACTCAGGGCATATTTTAACATACTGACTGCGTCCCATTTTGGGACGCAGCCCCCTGCCTTTGGGACGTAGCCCTCGCGAAATTTGGACCACTGCGTCCCACACTGAAATGTCACGGTTTCAGCGGAAAAGTGCAAGCAAAAATAATTAACATGCCTCAGTCTTTTACTATGCAACAGATGTTGCCTTTCTGATTGCTTTATGCCCTGATTTACTATTCACCTAAGCACATACATGCGCTCTCCAGTCCTTGTGCCCTGCCCTATACTAGGGTCGTACACCTTGTTATGTCCTGCCCTTCTATACCCCTAGGATATGTGACCTGCCCAGTGCCCTGTCCTAAGGTCTTGTACCTTGCCCTGCCCTTCCTTCAGACCCTGCGCCCTGCTCTGCATTCAGGCCCTGTGACCCTCTCTGCCCTGCCCAGTGCCCTCAAACCCGATACCTTGTTGTCTTCCCGTCTATAAGGATCCGTTCGGTGCTGCTGCCGGTTCGGTGCTGGGTCCGGATTTCGAGAAAATTGTGCATATCTAGTCCTGTTCCT